TTAGATCATAAATAACACTATAACACATTTGAATCCAACCAATACAAACATTTCATTCTGCCAACGTGGAAGACACCTCAGGTCATCGTCCATCCTCTGCGGACGTCTTCTCCGGTGAGCAGCTCACCGGAGAACGATAAATGGTAACATTCAGGCATGAAACCACCATCATTGCAACTATTTCATCAATGTGAACTCAACCTCACTCTCTATTTTCATTTATTGAAAAGGAGTAGAGAGAATTTTGAGGAAAATCAGAAGAACACGAAAACAAAAATTAATTGATGAACAAGAAGAATCAACACCAGCTAGGTTAGGGGAAACATTCAGCAAACAAAGGACTACATTGTGGTAACTTGTTTGAGTAAAAATGGAGCTTCAAACTACCTTGTTCAAAAATGATCTGAGAAGCTCTGGAAGTGGATTTGGTTGAAACAATTCAGGTACTCTTAGAGCTTGGAATTTGTCGCATAAGCTTCAGAGGAACACGGTGAAGCTTATGGAATCAAGAAATGGGAGTGAGAGTGGTTGGAAACCAAAACATGATAGCTCATTTTTTTGCAGAAATTTGAAGGTGGAGTAGGGTTTTATGGCTCTCAAAAGCTTAGGAATAAAGGTAGGATGAACCTATATTTATAGCTGAAGATGATGGAATATTGAGAGAGGTGAATTGAGTGGAAATTCAGTGTAATCGTGTGCACCCTTGGTCATGATAAAAGTGTGACTTGAATCAGCTCAAAACTCAGCCAAACCATGTGTTTTACCACTCATTTAACTTCAGGCAACTTGGTTAATCATGTTTAGAGGCATATCACCTATTAATTTGACTTGTATTTGAAGATTAGTTGAAGCAAAAATCTGATCATGGTGCAAAACTTCAGTTCCAAGTCACCATGTTTGCATCAATGGGGCACCTTGTTCAAGAGGCTTTTTCACCCAATTCTTTTTGCAATTGATCAACATCATGGCAAAGATCATAATGTGCCAAGAAAGGTCTCATTTGGATGTTTTAGCAAAAATTTATGGCATGTTAAAGTTGGCATAAAAATCTGGTAAACCAAACTTGGAAATTTCTAAGTCCAAATGGTTGAAAATGACCTATAATGTATCAATGAATTTCATGGCCTTCCAAGCACAATTTGACTTTGACCTTTGAAGAAATATTGTAGATAGTATCACAAAGAGTATTGTGGAAAAAAATGAGCTTCATATGCTAAAAATTGAGTTCGTGAAAGTTGAGAAAAAAGTCACTTGAAAATAGGCAAATTTTCACTAAGTCCACAAATGACCTATAATGTCTTCAAACTTTTGATGATCCTTCAAGCATAATTGGCTCTTGTCATGTAAAGAGAAGTTGAAGAAGATGTTGAGAAGAGTCATATGCAGAAAGAAGCATTCAAAAATATTGAGATTTGAAGGAGTTGTGCTCTATGGAACTTTAACTTGAAAAAGTTGACTTTTAGGTCAAGCTTCCTTGAATCAACTTGTACACTTTGACTTTTCTTGTATTTCAAAGCACATGGATCATCATATGAACTTAAAATAAGGTGCCATTAAATGTACCTTTATTATATTGACCAAAGCTTGAGGTAAATTATTGATGAAGGCATGGAAATAAACACATGAACCTTTGACTGTTTTTTTAGAAACAAGTTACTAAACTTTGAGATATCTTTGATCAAAAATAAGGTTGAATGATGATTGAGATCAAACACTTTGAGATAAGAGGTCATGACTTGATGAAATAGCCCTTGGGAACCAATGGTTAACGGCACTTTAACCTTGAGGGAGCAAAATCCTTCTTGATGACTCGTGCTTAGTGTTCTTGATGCAAAACCCTTCATTGCAAAAGAAACAAAAGGTATACAAGACATATTTTTTTTGGTATTTTGAATAGTAGTTAGTGAAACATAAAGTGCATAAACATAAAGGAACAAAACACACAAAGAGGTGCTTGATGATCTCTGCAAAGCCAAATCCAAGGATGAGGGGCTAGGGAAGAACCAAGTTTGTGATCTTGATGCATTGTGAAGATGAAAATGAGGTGGAATTTTAGGGTTAAAAATTAGGGTATAACACAGCTGATATTTAAAATAAAAAAAAGAAAACTCTATTATTCATCGGTCGATGTTGGACTTTATTGGGTTAAACTTTTCAATCTAAATCCATCGATTGGTGTTGGATTTCATTGAGCTAAACTTTTCAATCCAAATTTGCCCATATCAATCCATTAATAATTGAAAAAGATAGCTTGTGAATCTGTAAACTGGTTTTGTACCAACCATCTTTTTTATTATTGACAATTTCTTGTTGCACCTTGTATGTTTCTACCGCACCGTGCGTAATTCCACTAATGACCCATGTTTTCGGAGATATATCTTCGGACGCAGCATATGCAGACTCAATCAAAATCATTCTAAGAGGTGCCTCATATGTTGGGTTTAATTTGTTCCGGAGATGCATATCTGAAACAAGTCCGTAGTTACATCTCCAAGAAAATATCAAAAACAGATTCAACACAAAATAAACTTTCCAAAATGCAATTAACATTCATAACATAAAATGATCATTACAATGATGATTTCAACAGAAAATTAAATATTACATTTCAATATCCCGTTGGACGCTTGCACATCTTCAGGATATCTTCGACCAATCTTTTTAGTGTCGTTTCCAACTCAAGCGGAACTTTCTCTTCAAAACTGAAATACATTTCCCACATAGCCTAGAAGACGCTTGCACATCTTCAAGATAATGTGAACAGTGTAAAGGAAAAAGAACAATCTTTACCTGAAATTGTAACTTCTTTTCCTCTGTGTGATATTTTAAACCAAAATGATAGAGATTTTAAGTGAAAAAATAGATTGAGAATGAAGAATTTTTATGGTGAGGGTTTAAGTTGAAAATAAAGTATAGCAACAATGGGAATTGATCATGCAGCTGCAAGCTATATCAGATATTTCTGGAGATGCATCTTCGAAAATATCAAAGGTGACAGAAACATTCGAATTGCCGTCCACAATTCTGGAGATGCATCTCTAAAATATCCACTAAACTGAACAATTAAAATATTATCCTAAAATTGTTCCAGAAATATATTTCCGGAATAAAACTAGACCAAATATATGGGGCGTATCTCAGAATGACTTTGATTGCATATATATATATATATATATATATATATATATATATATATATATATATATATATATATATATATATATATATATATATATATATATATATATATATATATATATATATATATATATATATATATATATATAAAAGATGCGTTTGAAGATATATTTCCAAAATCGAAAAACATAAATAAAAATTCATGTTATGTATTAAAAATATATAGAGTACAATAAAAAATCTTCTTTATCATTTTCTGATTAATGAGTTTTAGACTATTTTCAATTTTTGGCCACCCCTAATCGTACAATGTAAAATATGATGAAATGGATCACCAACATTAGGCATGACCATTTCCAAGGAACATTAAAGTAGGTAGGTAGTCAAGCTTTCAGCCACACAAAAAAAGAAGAACAATACTACTATTAAAAAACCCGACAAGGTGATGATATATATGTCCTAGTAATGTCATAATTGATTTTGTCTTGTAACGTGTTTAGGCCTACCAACTTTATGTCGCTCATTTATACAACTAAGTCATAAACTCTAATTTATTCAAATAATGTAGTGAACTTTATATCAAACAAATAGGAGCAATTGGTGTTAAGTAATAATCATTATAAAATAATAGAAAAATAAGTACTTTGTCACAAGTGCTTTTTAAAAAAAGTAAATTCAAAAGTAAATCTACAGGCAAAAATATATTAATAAAAGGAAAATATATTATTTGTGCATATTTATTTATGAAATTAAATAATTCTTATTTCAAGTCTAACTAATGTACTAGAGTGACATCATTAGACAAATGTTTTAAAAATTGAATCGGAGAACGGATAAAATTTCTAATTTAAGGTTCAATTGATTCAATTGGTTAAACTTACGGTTGAGTTTATTAAATAAATTAATAATATAAAACTAAATTTTATAAATATGTCACATATAGTCGTATGTTCATAGCTTAATAAAATAAATATTTAAAAAATCTATTACAAACTTAATACAACAATATCGATAATACCTATAATAATATAACATAGTTGTACACTTTATTTTAAACTTCATTTAAGAATATTTTGAACAAATTAAAGAATCACAATAAAATAAATTAAACTAATTTAAAACAAAATTAAAATAATATAATATAATAACTAAAATAAAGTTCAAATAATTAATAATGTCTAAATTAAATAAGATAGAGTGTCAAAAATAAACAATACAATATACTTAATTAAACAACAAAAAATGAATCTGAGTTGAACTGCGACAAACAAGTTATAATTGACAACAACAAACAATATTGACTTAAACGACAATTAATATTGAGCTGGACATCGTGAATATGTTTGAAAGAGACGACGTGGTGATGATGGAGTATAGTTGAAAGAAAAACTATAATGAAGTGACAAAACTTATAAGTTTGGTTGTAGAAAAAACACAGAATTTTTTTTTGTGATTGAGGAATGTAGGTTATGTTTTGATATTAAATTTTTTTAAAAAAATGGTCAATTTGATGAATTTTTTTGAACTGAGCAGTTTTACAAAAACGGTTCTGCTTCTTTGGTTTGAATGGTTTTAGACTGTTTACTTTGGTTTTCCTGATGTTACTCCAGTTTTGATCCACTAGCAATTTTAAAAAGTTGATTCAACCGAATTCATATCTGATTTCCAATTCAACTTATTGAACCAGCCGATTTGATCCGATTTTTAAAACATCACATTACAGATAGTGAATAGTGAATGGTTCAAATTTATAGAGATTATGGCTAGACTAATTAATTTCAAGAATGAAAACATATTTTAAGCTATCGATCAAGCATCATTAGTAGTTCATCAAAGACAATTATGCGAGGTGATTAATAAATTTAATCAAACTTGAAAAAATGCTCAGATATTGTGTAATTTTCAGCCCCTCCAAGAAAAAAGTTTCTTGCTCCACCTGAATACAAATATCTTTCACTTTCATGTTCTTCTATTTTGTTGTTCTCTTGAAACTCTTCCTTCTGTTTTATGACCCTCTCCTGCTCATTGTGTCTGTTTTCTTCCAATGGCTTCTTTTGTCTCTGTCCTTGATCATCATACATACCATACCTTACACTACCTGTCACTAAATCGTTACTAGTTGAAATTGTTCTAAAATGAGCTGAGATTTAAAAGCATTCAAGGACTTACTATTCGAGAAATTATCAATACTGAAAAACTCAGAATTAATCGAAAACTCATATGGTGGTAAACTATCACCAAATGTTTCAGAGCTTCTGTATGATCTTTTCTGTTGAGCCGCGTCTATCGGACCTCTTATTCGTACAATTCTATCTAAACTTCTTATTCTTGATATGCCACAAGAAAGCTTTTTAAGAAAGTAGTCCTCATCATTCTTCATTTTCCTATCACCAAAATAAATTTTTCATTGATATAAGATTGAGTTTGATTTCATTTTTCATAACAATTTGATTTCATCTTACCTGTCTAGTATCAACCAAGTAGCCTTTAGCTTTGTGGCTGATTTTAATGCAACAGCCTTAGGTGAAGACCCCATAGCTACTTCTATATGAAATCCAACCTGAAAATATCATGCACAATATCGCGCGGTGTGTTATATGTTGTATTGGGTTGGAGTATCCCTTGTACTTGTACGCTGTTCTAAATATAATTTACTTATAGAAAATTACCTTCATTGTTTTATAAAGTTCAAAAATATGAGCAAGTTCTTCATTTTTCCTATACTCGTTTTTCTTTTTTTGAACTTCTGCCTCAATAATCTTCTGATTTGCACCAAATGCTGACCTACTATCCACACTGATTTTGCATCCCACTATCCAAAAAAAAAAATTGTAGAAAAGAAAAGTAACTATATATAATATATAATATAAATAAAAGAAAGTTTTCAAAAGCTTCCTGCATGGTTATATATACTTACAAGGAGTGATAATCTGGTGAAGAACTACAACAAGAGTGAGGTTATCTCCAGCCATTAGTGATAATCCATTAGGGGCCCAATGAAAAACTTTTGAATTGATCTCTCTACAACTATCTTTGATCACAACCACACTTTGCAGTACCATGTCAATGGAAGTAAATTATGAAACTTCACTTTTTTCTAATACTCTGGTAATGCATTTCTTGAAGACATCAAGAATATGCTAAGTAACCACTTAGTGATAAGTATATATATACTAAAATGTTCACCTAATTAATTACAAATTATGATTAACGATTGGTTTAAAATAATGTTTTAGCTGAAATTCTAATGTTTTTTGTCAAATCATTGTCCTATATTATTGTCCTAAATCATTGTCCTATTTGATTGTTCTAATATGATGTTATATAGAGTAGACAAAGTCTCAAAGATATGTGATTAAACTTCCTATGAATGTGAATCATTTGCTGGTTAAATTACAAATCTGTCGCACTCATTCCTTCTACATGTATTAGATTTACATAAAAATATATGTATATGATTTATGTATTATCAAATTTGAATGTGAAAATTAGTTGAAAATTCGACTCCAAAAATGTTAGTACGGCAAAGAATTTTTTAGAACTAAATTGTTAAAGAATAAACATTAGTAAAAGTTAGAGGTATATCAAAACATAGATAAGTTACGAGTAAAACAAATTGTATTTAAAGTTAAGTTTACGAATGGTATTTATGCGTGGAAATTTATGTCTTGTATTGCCGGACCCAGTCGAAAGATACTTTATCAAGTCAAATTTAACTTGTCATTCTTTAAAATATATTATAATTTGACATCTTTCAAACTTTCGTATTCTTAAAACTGTTATTAATTAAAAAATGGAACAAATTTTCGTTCAGAATTAAAATTTCACATGTTGATATCGGAAATTTCAATTTAAATGAAATTATCAGTCGTGTTATTTGTTTGTTTTTTTGGATGTTCAGAATTTTGCCGACAGTTTTGGATGATTGTGATTGCACTAACAGTTTTGTGTGATCTAGAGTAAATGCAAAGTTGTATAAATAGGGGGTCACATGTTGTTTGATAAACATATCTCAAAAAATGTCTCTTCATCAATTTTTAATTAAGACAGAAGTGTATTTCAACGAAACTTCTCCTGTAGAGTTTCGGCTTCCAAAAGGCACCACCTCCATTGTTGGCATGACGTCGAAGTTGAATGAATTGTTGTCTTACGCCGAAAATAGAAAGGTGAGAAAAATCGAGTTTCGTGAAGATTTGATTGATACTGGTGAGAGGTGAAATACAACCTTTTTGAGTTGAAGATCGACGAAGATGTGAAAGAAATGTGGAGATCATTTCGCCGTAGGATAACAAATGGGTCGATCGAGTTAGATGTTAAGCTTTCAAGATCTATTAACGGTATAATGGAGATGTTAAAATGTCCATAATCGTCTGGTAGTGTTTAGTTTGTTCTTATTTATTAATCCTCTGGTATTGTTAAGTTTTTTTTAAGTTATGTAATTGATTGTCAGATGTTAATTAATGTTGATGTTGCAATTTATGGAAGATAAAAAATATTAGCAAATAAAGAGTTAGGATGAAGATGACTGAATAATATATAAATGATACAAATAATACATAATAGACCAAATTCATGATATACAAAAGATGTCTAAATAAGCCCCCATAAGGTATGTGTGCAGCCCAAGATAATCTAGCATAAATCTCGTCATCTGAGTTTACCAAACCCACGAGGTTATCCATAATAATTGCAATCATCTTGAGGCGTTGCTGGTCATCGGCATCATCTACTGGAGGCGACGGCGACACGTCATCAACAGGTACACCGATATCAACTATAGGTGGGGTGATGCGAGGGTGTGATACAATGAGGTACCACTCTAAGTAATCATCCTCGCATTATGAGGGATGCTAAACATTGACTGCTCGATCTCTAATGGCAAGACACGAGCTAATGAAGCTACTTTGAAACCACCAATTAATACCTGAATATGTTATATCTTGAACTGGTTGTGGGACACTCTAAACATAACCAAATTGTCGTAGACACTTCTCAGAAAAGTGTCTAGCAACCTGTTGACTCCTAATTTCAACGTCTGAATAGAGTTAAAGATAACAAATAAAGTTTCTTGGGGAAATCTAATTACTTCGACTAAAACTATGTTTTATTGAATAAGAGTCGAAGACGGTTTTTCACCATGAGGTTCTATGTTATGGACTTAGAGACATTCCTCAATAGTTGGAAGATCCAATTCGACAAAAGCATTGTTTAGGGGCATTTCGACGAGTTTTCGTTTGAATTCAAATAAAAGAGGGAAATTTTGTTTTTGAGAAAGACACATGGAGCATCCCGGTGGCTCGAAGGCATGCGTAGTGACACTTGTCTTGATTTTATTTGTTAGCCGTTAATGACGGTTATGTTCGATGGTTATAAATAGCAGGTCTTAGTATAAAGATATGTGTGTTTTAATTGTGTACAAAATCTCCATTTACTCTAAGTATCCGTGTGATTGAGAGAAACGAGTCGTGAGAATTAGACATGGCAATATAACCCATACCCGCGGGTACCCGCCCAAACCCGCCTCGAATTTGACGGGGAAAATCCGCTTTGACTGGGTTTGGGTTCGGGTTTGGGTTTTCCCCGATTTTTAAATATGGGGATGGGGCGGGTAACGGGGACTGTAGTACCCACCCCGAACCTGTCCCCGAACTCGCCCCGTTTATTATTATTATTATTTAAAAAAATCATAATATTTTTTATAAAACCATACATTATATTTTTTACTATGTGTTTGTTTGGATGGTAGTTTGTAATATCAATTTGTATTTTATTATTTAGTTTTTATATTTTGTATTATTTGGTTTTGCTAATTTGAAATATTAATTGTATGATTAATGAATTAATACTTTCGTTTGTATTTTATAATTCGAAATATATGTTTGAAATTCTTCGAGATTGTATTTTATTTTTGTAATACAAGTTAAGATTTCTTAAGATTGGGACAGGTTTTGGGTTTGGGGGCGGGGCGGGAACACCCGAACCCATTTGGGACGGGGTTGGGGTTTAATTATTCATCCCCGCTGGGGTTCGGGGCGGGGAACGGGGATTTATTTGGGATTCGGGTTTGGGTTTGGGGAATACAAAAACCGTCCCCGCCCCGCCCCGTTGTCATCCCTAGTGAGAATGTATGTGGACTAAACACCAGTTTTTATTTCAATGCAATTTAACTCTTCTTTTATTTAAAAGTTTACTTTTCTCTATGCAAGTTATTATCCTTGTTATTTATCAGCATTTTACTTCTTTTTATCGTTGCTTAAATTTATTCATACTTGAAATAAGTTGTCTTACCATGGAACTCGTCGAAGTGTTCATAATTTTCATTCACTTCATTTAAAAGACCAATTAGCACATTTCCTAGGATTTGTGTGGTCTATCCTACAAGTAACACAAATCTTTCTCGATTTGTTAGACCAGCGGTTGTTCGCCAATTTTTATGGCGAACAAATTGGCACACTCGGCGGGACAGTGCTAAGCGGTTGCGAAAATCATTTTAAAGAAAATTCTCTTTGAAAAAGAAACTTTATTATTTCTGTGGTAAAAAGTTTTCTTTTGAGGAAAAAACTTCGCTGCATGTTATTGAGAAGTCGTAAGGTAGCCACTGTTAACGAATATATACCAAAAAGGAGATATGGGAGGAGAATGGCGGTGAATCTAAACCAGCCAAATAATCCTCAGGATATCTCGAACAACAATGTAGAACAACCCATAGGAGCTTCGATAGGGGGACCAACGGTCTCAGCGTCTATTTCAGAGGCAATACCGTCTATGGGAACTTCGATGCCCACACATTCGATTTCCCATACGCAGCCTATTTTGACTTACATTGGGCCAATGGGTCCTCCACAGGCCCCACCACCAATAGGGGCATAGACATATAGAGGCATTTCTCCCCCGGGATTTTCAATGCCTTTGCCACGAGACCCGCATTATGGAATGCCAACTTCGTTTATGGCAAATTTACAAAGTGCCCCTCCGTTATATACAGAACCCGTAATGACTTCCCCATTACAGGGATCTGGCACTGGGTTAAATATGGGTCGAAATAGTCAGAATTTAGGTATAGGGTATTCAGCCAAGATGCCAGGGTTGACGACTAATTTTACATCTTATTTGAGACAACAAATGGACGAAAGTAACCATCAAATGGTTTAGATGATGTCTCAAACTATGGGGGAAATCTTTCAGTCCCTCATCTGAAACACTACACAAGCCAATCAACAATTGGCAATGCAAATGACACGCATAACGGAATTCTTAGGTGTATCAAATCCCCCTTGACAACCACCGAGGGAGTATCTTAGAGAAAACCAAGGAGTAGTCTTCGACGAAGACAACACCATCAATCAAATTCCACAAAATCTGGTCCAGGCAAATCAAAATAACCAGGGAATGGTCGAACAACCTAGAATCGAACCTCTTAGGAATCAACCACAAGTTCCTAGAGAGGAAGAACCAAGGGTAGTGTTGGTAAATAGGAACCAGGATGCTGAGAACATCGTACAACAAGTTCGACGTAACAACTAGCATCAGACAATAATTTGGTTGCCATGGTCGAAAGGATCATGGCACGTAATGGAGTAAATGTTAGCCTTCGGCAGCCAAATTACACATCACCATTATCAGAATATATCCTTCAGGTAGACTTGTCCCCAAGGACAAAAGTCCCCAAGTTCACTAAATTTTCTAGGGATACTACTGAGTCTACTGTCGAACACATGGCATCCTCTTCTTTGTGTTCACCTGCAGACATCACATTAACATGGTACTCGTCCTCATCTTGGACGGTACTATCATAAATCCAGTTATTAAGATTAGCTATACTTACTCTATCAGGATCAGGGAGGCAAACCTGTTGAGACTCATCACATCATAATGAGTGGGGGCAACAAAATTCATGCCCCGTTGGACAAGGGCAACCATATCAAGTCTAGTTTTACCTATTACAGGTGTATCACCCAATGCGGCAGGATCATAGTCGAAATGCTCAACTATCTGCGCTATCATTCCATCGATATATATTCCTCCCTGTGTTTCCCTACCTACTCGGCCCAGATAATCCGTT